AATGTACATAATATTTTTGAAAAATGTCTCTTCTTCCATTCTAGTGTGTGTTTTGCAAGGACAGGTTCATTTTTTAGCCTATTTTGTGAGCTCCATTCTGCTTCTTTCTGGTGTTTTAGACAAGCTGACTACTAATGACTAATGAGAACAATATGAATGCATTGTTGCTGCATAAGTGTAATGTGGTGTGGTTTTTGCCTCGTCTGTAGTAGTCAGACTGCTTTTAGCGAGGCTCACCAGTGGTTTTACATCTGCACAGCGTTGAAGGCTGGGCTGACTCTGGGGAAGATAGAAATTGCTTCATATTGTTTGTGATCCTAAATTTTATACTCACTATATTCCCTAAAACAAACATCCACAAGAAAAAAAAAATAAAAAAAAAAAGAAAAATTAAAAGAAGGGAATTTCGAGTGTATTACAGGCAAAAAGATCAGGATGTAAAAATGGCGAGAGAAAGTGTGGCATGTTCAATAGTGCAGGGCATTGCTCAACAGTACAAGAACACAGAGGACGTGGATAGGAATATCATGAGGTGAGGCAAGAGAGGCAGGTGGGGGCCCCTATTTGCCTTAAGCCACTTCAGTTCTCCAGAGGATACCAGAGAGCTATTGAAGGGGTCAGTGTTTTGTTTTGTTTTGTTTTTTTAAACAAGCCTTCTGGCTTTGGCACAGAGGATGGATGAGAAGGGGGCTAAAGTAGATGCAGGGAAATCAGGAGAAATGATAAAGGCCTGGACTGAAGTAGGGGCAGGAGGTATGGAGAAGAGAGTACATATTTAAGAGACAAGCCTTTAAGATATAAAATTAACTAAAGTTCATCATCTATTGAGTATGGAGGTGAGTAAGAATGAAGAATAGATAGACTCAGATTTCCTGCTTGGGTAATGCAGGGCTTCAAATGATATGGTCAGGACTTTAAACACAGAGGGGAGGATGGCTGTCAGCAGTACACCAGCAAAAGAGGTGCTGCTTTCTCCTGACTTCTAGCGTCAGCTGGTGGAGGGATGCTGATTGAACCAGGTCAAGTTATATGTCTGTCCCTGGGGGTGTAGGAATGGTAACAAGTATGCTATTCCCATCAGGACCATATGGAATGAAGAAGGAATTCCCCAAGGAAAAAGAGAGCACAGGAGAAGTTTTGGAGGAAATAAAATCAACAGCTACCATGATCTGTTACAGAAGCTAAGAGTAAGAGTCAAAAGAAATGTCTGAGAGCTAACTGTGGATATGGAACCTGAGAGACTTCTGAGCTAGAGATCAATTTGGGTTTCAACAGCGGCAGATAGGCATGAATATGATTCTGTAGAGAGAAAAGAGAAATGGAAGAGAAGTGAGCCAAAGATGGAATTCTGGGGAACACCAACATTTTAGGGGGAGAGTAAGGAAAAGAAGTCCCCAACGTCTGCGATGGAATGAGAACCAGAAAAGCATTTTTACAGCAATCAAGGCTGAAGACACTTTCAGGAGAGTGGAAATAATCAATAGTGATAACAGCCTCAACGAAATAAAGATAAGGCATTTGGCAGGTTGGAGATGGCTCCCGCATGAACCAGTTCAGGGGAGGTTCTAACCAGGGGTGGGAAATCAGATTACAGAAGGCAGAGGAGTGAATAGAAAGTAATAAAAAAAAAAGTGATGATACAAATATAGACCACTCTCTCAAGAAGCTTGACTCTAAAGAGAGGGAAAAAGTTTATAGTTGGAGTTGGAGGGGAAAGACGTAAATATGTTTATATGACAAGGAAGAGAACTGGGTCGAGTAGGAAGTGAAAGAGATGGGAGAGTACTACAAGAAAGGTGCACTCCCGCTCCTAGAAAAAAAGGCCGTTTCTAAAGCAGGGTGACTTAAAATATACCCAATTGTGCTTGAAAGAAAGCATATGAAAAGGGAAAGCATTTTTCAAGGACAGGTCAGATAGGATTAATAAATTCTGGGACAGGAATATACGCAAACATAACCAAGAACACACAGGGAAACTTGGCAGCCTGATAAAACCTCAAATGAGTGAATCCACAGCACC